GGTTATAGCCCCGGATGTCTCGGCTCTTCGCTCTCCCACTTTGGCGTGGAAAAACACTTTCGCCAAGAGAAAGCAGTGAGTAAGAGGGCTTCCTCAATCTAATTGCCTATTTGAAGAGACGCTTGGTCTTATGGGAGCATTTCGCGCGGGATGCAAGCAAAGAGTGTACAGCCGCAACCCTGGACATCCACTCCCGACCATACTGAGGTTTTTGGAGGAACGGATCGGATCGGATCGATCCTAATTTACAGTCTGTTATGACTGTTCACTGTTAGCAACGGATTCGGTGCACTTTGAAACACCGATGAGATTCGGAACCGGGAAAAACTGAACACAAAGTTTTCCGAGACAATATTTCATCCGGGAAAAGTAACTGTACGACTAGTTACAGAAAGAAAGAAATTGATAACCACCACCTCACACACACACCCCCACCCACCCGCTGCAGAAAAAGACTTTCTCGTATTAGTCTTACATTGGATAATAATAATCGTTAGTTAGCTAATTAACAAAGGCGACGGAAGAGTTTCTGATGTGAACGAGCATTATGCTGATCACTCGTTAATTACGCCCAGCAGGGTTGAACGGTATACGCAGTGCTGACACTCAGCTACAAAACAAGCAGCCCTTTTCGAAAAAATAATAACCAACGGTATAGAGGAAACAAAGTAATTCAAAGAGCGAGGCACAGATTACCTCCATGGATGTTGCACACAACATATGCCAGGCGGGGCAAACCAACGATCATGGTCATTGTCTCTCGTGTTGTGCTATCAGCGCATATGAGTTGATCAGTTTCTTTGAATGGAAGGGTGGGATGGGGATGGGGTGATTGGGGAACATCAGCTCTGTTCATGGTTCATGACAAGATTAGACTGAAACTGATGACATCATCCACTTTACTGCATCAAATGATTTGCTCAATCACTCGATCAAACAAATCATCTTGTCTTCAGACTCACACAGGAATGGAGAGTGAGAATGTAAGATCAAGGATCCCAAGAGTATACGTGTTGTCCGAAAGAGAAATCAACTTTTGGAAGGTTGCTTCCACCGAACTGACAGGGATTTAAACAGTTAAAGGATTTGTTGACTAGCTTGGGATCAGTCTACAAATAAAATGAATGAATCCCATTGGTTGACAATACCGGTGCTTAGTTGTCTGGTTTAAATTCAATGAATGTAAAGTTGCATTGTTCCAAATGTGAGGTTTTGTTTGTGAATGAACGAACCGATCTACCCGGTACCAGTTCGGCGGAACTGACTGGGCTGATTCTTTCTGAATGTTATTTCTTTTTTTCGGGCGGAGGGGGACTTGAAACCCGTATACTTCGGGTGTGTACACGGTCAGTGCAACATATCGTCGGATAGGCGATAAATTTCATTTCAGAAATCGAATAGTTCTGTTCTATTGAACCGTGACCTTTTCGAAAAATAATAACCAACTATATAGACGGAAACAAAGCAATTGAAAGAAACTGATCAACTCATACGCGCTGATAGCACAACACGAGAGACAATGACCATGGTCGTTGGTTTGCCCCGTCTGGCATGTGTTGTGTGCAACATCAATGGAGGTAATCTGTGCCTCACTTTCCCCCTCCACCCACCCACCCACNCAAAAAGAAACAGATGTTTGCAAACTGTAACCAAATGTTTGTTACATGTCTGTTTGGTATGTTCTGTGCTCACACACACACACAGAGCGCGCGAGCGAGTGTGTGTGTGTGCGTGAGGAAATCTTGTTCCTAAGGCGAAATACATTTGATTACACAATGACGTGCCAGTCGTGAACAATCACAATGAATGTGCTGGAATTGTGTCAGAATGAATGAATCCAATTATTTATTAGCTTCAGTCAAACTGATGAAGTTTGACATTGAATGAAAACATCCGATCAGTTGACAGAAATGAGATCATACAGAGAGAGAGAGATTTCAAAAGTTTGTCAGACCACTCAAGGGCACAGACAGACAAACTGCATCACATGAAATCGGATTACCATTGAAACTATGTAATGCTATTCAAATGCGATGTATCATAATGCAACGCACAACGCATTGATTCAGTCCATCTCATACCACCGACGATAATCTACGGTGGGTCAAACTCTGAGACGTCCCTCGTGTTTTCTACTCAAAGATCAATAAAGAATCCACCGAACGAAATGTATTGTGATCGATAAGGAAATGTCTCCTTGCACGTTTCTGCTGCCCGTTCAAAGCGTGAACATACAATCACCAGAGAGTGAAAAAATACCTCAATTTGTTGATGAGGATGACAAAGTTGGTCAATACGCCATCACAACATGTTTTGGTCTGTGAGCTCCGTCTCCAAAAGACTCAGTATGTTTGGAAGTGAGTGTCTCGAGTTGAGACTGGTCACCCGATGTACCTCGCGAAATGCTTCCATACAACTAAGCGTATCAAATAGCCAATTCCGTTGAGAAAACTTTACTCACTGCTTCCCTGTCGGGTGCAGCTTTTCCCACCCCAATTTGACGGGACGGAGGCTATGACCGAATCGCTGAACCACTGGCGGTTCATCTTCGGGGGAGTGGGCTAAAAACCCTAATTCCAAACCAATCAGGAAGAGGTGTTTGAACCACACACACCTCCCTGGTTGTGGTAATTGTCACCAGCTCGATTGGGTATAAAAGTTTATTGGTCACCATGGGCTTTTGACCCCGTCCGAAGAAGGTATGATTCGATGAATTGGATTCCGGTTTTCATACACCACCCCGCCGCCTTGTGGGTCAGGCTCTGGTTATCTGAAGTCTCTGTTTGTGAACAGCCTAAGAAATTTCACCTGTTTTGGTCAGAGAAACCGAGTCGTATCGTGCCCTGGAGCAAGTTATTGACCCTTTTTTGTTTTTGACAGTCTGAACTCAGACGTGCAGGTGAAAAATAAAATAAAATACTGACGACAGACAAGCTTTCATCGCCCATTCTACACCATTTCCAATCAAGCTTTAGCCAAAACCCGTAGTCCTTTTGCCTCAACGCACAAACTTTAATCACGTCACAGTAGACGAGTCAGATCAAAAGTATCGAAATATTCTGAAATCAATGAATGTTGAGAAAAATTTCTTTGCATTCACACGTCCTGAAATAAATCAAAAGGTATATGCTTATCGTTTCGTATATCCACTTAGACGGAACTCTGTTTTTGACCTATGAATACATTAAAGGGTCGAGGATAATAAACACTGCTCACAAAAGACCCCTTTAGAATACCGTTTCCCAAAAAAACTATAGACAAAAAACCGGCAATAATCAATCCTCGACCGTGGTAATCATAACTTACGTTGCATCGTTTCTAAACTGATGGTAGTTATGAGGGTGAACTTTTACGAAAGGTTTGTTATCCTCAGCACGTTGTTGTATTCTCTTCTGATGAACAGAGTTCACTTGTGAATGCAAAACAATGTATCGTTTGAGTTAAACTTGAGATTTTTACTCCTAGGAATATCGCATGTTATACAGAAACACTGAAGCTGCTGTACGAGATGGGTCAATGGATTTGACGATACGGGCAGATCGGTTAAAGCTTCTCCAATCCACATGTGTTGCAGCATGCAACCCGCACACCTTTTGATTTATTAACCAAACTTTGCAGCATCAACATTTATAGAAAACAAATTTTTCTCAACATTCATTGATTTCAGAATATTTCGATACTTTTGATCTGACTCGTCTACTGCGACGTGATTAAAGTTTGTGCGTTAAGGCAAAAGGACTACGGGTGTTGGCTAAAGCATTTCGGGTCGAGGCCAAAGGATTGTGGGTTTTGGCTAAATCTTGATGGGAAAAAGTGTAGTCGGACTTGGTGTAAGATAGGTGGAATACGTACAACACGTAGGTTTGCATTTGACGGGTTGTGAGTTCACATACCGGAAGTGATTGTGAATGTGCCGAACTGTTGAGCTCCAACAAAAGCAAAAACTCGATTGCGGTACCGGTTAAGTGTTTTGTTGACCAAAAAGAACTGAGGGTTTGCCAAGCAAAATCAGTGATCTATGCTTTACAATCATTCTCCTCAACAGTTTTCATCGTCTGTCCTATTTGGGATTCCACTGCTTTCTCAGGTCATACCGGAAAAGAGATTGGGCCGATCGACGCGGTTTCGGAGTTTATCTACTTACCACGCGCCAATGATGACAATGAACTGAAGAAAAAAAACTATTCAAAGCTGTATTGCACGGCTTTTGCAATAGTTGTGATTGCATTCAGATTTCTCTGCGTCACACATTTTTCATCACTCTATTACGTGATGATGTCATACGGAACAGAACAAAATGCCTTGTTCCATATCGACTAAACTATCAATCAAGCTGTGGTTGGTAAGGTATCTTGAGACCCGATTATTATAGTCGTTCATGTCGCTCAAATTGTCAAGAATAGCAACGGAAAATTTGATGTCAAAGCACCCCTGAAAAAGTAGGCAATTACTGACTGCATGGCATACATAACCTGTGAATCTCGGTTACGGAACAACTAAAATGATTTGACACGAGATCAAGTCGGATGCAGAAATGGGAGGGATAGACAGACACGTAAGATAGACAGACAAACGCGATAAGCCGTGTTTTATTCATTTATATCAAATGGAAGTTGATGTGCTATTAAAAGAAAGACTTGGGAAATAACTGCTGTAAAAACGAGAGAGCTGATGAGAGATTTCTAAAGACAACTATGATCGCATACAGAGCTCGTATTTTTTTCCGTTAGCACTCAAGAGGAGTGTAAACTGTACGATTTAGAAACTTCCCTGGGATTATTCAATCTTTCATTTTGACTCAAAAGAAACCACAGTGAGGATTTTTTTCATCTAAAAAGGATTTGTCGAAACAGTCACACACTTTCTGGTGAACAGAATAAAATCAATAAATTAGAGGCGATTGTGGAAAAGATTAGACACAGCATGTTTTGAGTATGTATCTGCAGTCCAATTTGGACGATCGGATGAAGAAGCTTCAGTTTGTTTTGTTTTTTCCTTCCGATTTAAACAAATTACCCAATCACTGTTTGTTTTTATTTTATTTTATTTTTCTCTCACTGCAGATTTTTCATGCCATATCCGCTAGGCAACGTACCAGATTCTTCAAGCAGCACAAAATTTCTGAAATGAATGTATTGATTTTTCCACGCTACACTGAACGTCTACAGAAACGGCAATTTGTTGTTCCATTTCATTTATTGAGTAAAATGTTAGGTCAGGATGCGCAGTATGAAACATGCTTCATAGTTCCGTTGTGTTCGATGATGCGTTAATCACACAATAAATATCATCTACATAGTGTGCGTGTAGCACAGAGTTTTTACTGAATGAATATGACTGAGTAGTTTCACGTTTCTCCATGAATAAGTCCACGAAAAACGGTCCCATCGGTGAACCTATGACTACGCTATACTTTTGCCGATAGATCTGATCTTCAAACTTGGAATGAACATTATACGCGAAGATCAACCAAAGGGAAGCTGGCCTCTACACTACTAGTGTACACTTAACTGCACAGGTGTTTAATCGTTTCGCTGATGGGGAAATTTATGAACAAGGATCTGACGTCCAGCGAGAGCATTGTTCGATCGATCGATGACGAATTTGGTTCACAAAAATATCCCTAACATTATGTTTTACGTACCTGACTTGAACGGATTCTAATAATTTGTATAAACATTTTGATGTGGCGAGTTGCCATATAAAAATGAGATGAATGAGTGCAGTTGTTTACGGCACTCAGTCAGATGAAAAGACCAGCGAAGCGAATTCTTTTCGACTATGCATACTCAGGCTGCT